CTCGGCTCTTAAACAGAGCCGAAGAGTCAGGGGAGGAGCACAGCAGCCGCGGGAGGGGAAGTGCCCGGCCGGCGGTATTTTTCCCGGACATGTTCAGCTTTTTGGCAATTCCCCCCGGACGGGGGTTTGATTACCAAAAAGCCGGACATGTCCGGAAAAAAACGGACGTATGGTAACCCTAGTGGAATGCAACATGGATTCTACCATGGGAGTCTCCCAATGGAAAGAGTGAGAATCCCTAAACTACTCCAACCCTTGTGAAAGCTAAGATTATTTAAAATCAGATTGGACAACCCTTGTAAATGTTTAACAGGGAACAATCCAGCTTTGACAAGGGATAGAGCAGTTGTAACTTTCAATGTGGACCACATTTCAGGAACTGTAGTGGCTTCTTGATATTTAGAAGCCAAGTGCCATCTGCTTTAAGGAAACCAGATTAACCAGACCTATACTTGTAAGAAACAAAATCCTCCCCCCATCTCCCACGGTGTCTCACAAACCTTTGAGAGGACAAAGATCCAAGGAAACACTTACTGATTCCAAGTAGCTAGTAAACCACTCTGGAGGCTTTTCATTGGTCCCTTCAGATTCGTTTTGATCTAGCTTTTTCTGTAGAACCAAAAATAAATTGCAAACCTTAAATACATAATTTCCTTGTATGTATCTCCAATTAATTTGGGATTAAGCAGCAAAAACACCAAGTCCAAATACATACCCCACACACCCACCCATGAACAGCTAGGAAAGTTCAGAACATATTCCCCTCAAACACCTTTCACCATAAACAGAGTTTCAGTCTCCTAGAAGAACACTGGAAGCCACATAAGCAAGCCACTGTCTGCATAGACTAAGTTTACTGAAAGCTTCCTCCATTATTAGCATTAGATGCAAAATTACACACTGAAAGCTAGAGAAAATTATTTGAGAGCAGCTAGTTTGTAGCTGAGAATTACAGAGGGAATCAAGTTTCAGAGTGGTAGCCGAATTAGTCTGTATCAGCAAAAACAAGGAGGAGTCCTTGTGGCACCTTAGAAACTAACAAATTTATTTGGGCATAAGCTTTCATGGGCTAGAACCCACTTCATTAAAGCTTTAGGAATCTAACAATCACACCTCTTATAACGTTTAAGACTCTGTCCTCGACATTAAGGATTCCTTCATCCTAATATTGGACCAAACAAATCTCCCCTCAGTTACATCCAATCAACTTTACTGATTTCAGTGGGTTTGAACAGGTGCGACCGAGAGGCAAAATTTTGACTCAAACCTTCATCTCGTGTACAGGTAGATGACTACCAGCCTGCAATAATATGCTATCAAGTGAAACATTTCAGAATCATTTGTTTTGAACAATACAGCTCTGTATCCTACCTGTGCTGTGGTTTCCCTTTCAGCCTTTAAGTCCTGCCCTAAGGCCTGAGCAAGCATGGAATAGTGTGAGAGAGGTCTCTTTCCATCTTTGGGAATGGACAGTTTTTCTATCCCAGCTTCTTCACAGACTTGCGTGGAACAGGAATGCGAAGTTTCACTTGGAAAGGAGTTTACTTGATACACTTTCATTTGGAGCTGATTTCCTTGTGTAACTGCAATCTAAGTAAACAGTGCATGATACATACACTTTCCATTCTCGCCATTTCACAAGCAACAAGCAAGTTTTCCTGCAGAGACATATACTACAATGGTATGACAGAAAAGCCAAAAAAGCAAGTGACATGCCAGATTACAGTCAGCTGGTCTCTATTACCAAATAAAATCATAAGAAAGTCATAATATAAATGGAAGGGAAAGTAGACAGAGCTTCTCTAGGTTTTGCTAAATCCACAACAGAGCAGTTTATCTGACCTGATAAACAGGATGACTATGAAAAACTTTAGCCCCGGAGCTGTCAGGAGATTACTTCACAGTTCTTTTGTTCTTGAATATTTAAACATTATTTCAAGAACAGAAATTCAAAACTGAACCAAGTGATGAAAGGATTTTTCTTGTGCTAGTTACACAGCAAGTGGTTTACAGTTTACAGCTGCTCTAACAAATTAACCTTAGGTACAGCAGCTGAGCTCACCACCACTGTAGTTTACATTACTCAGGAATGCAGGACTGGACCTTGTATGTGGTAAGGCCTTTAAGAGTCTGCAAGACCAAGCTTTGGAGTCCCTTTTACATTCTCTGAATATTGTTTTGTTTTTTAAGATGGGAAACGTTTGGGAAGTCAGTGTAACAATATTTTGGCCTGGAAGAATTATTCTAATAAAGTCTTCAAACTAGCATCTAAAACTAGGCAACTTTATAACCAGGTTGTTCTGATTCCCCACGTGCCTGAGAAAAATCCAGCACTACGTGGATTTCCATTATAGAGATTTTTGAAGATATCAGAAAAAGTTACAGGGACCAGTTACCTTCAGAGCTTCTTCATATTCCTCTAAAAGAAAAAAGAAGAAATGTGTGACTATTTCCATGTCCCAGACATAACATGGTGCTCTTCCTCAGGGACTCAATAGCATTTAAAGGGCCTTCTGCAATTTACAAAAGTAGCACAAAAGACAGTATATGCACCTGCAGACTGGCAATGTAACATTCCTCCCTTCATTTCTACCCATTTCTCATAATTCCCATACAACCAGCCAATGGATGACAAAAAAACCCCTTAGAACTCTGCAGAAGACCTGAGCGTCAGGACCTACCCGGGTAGAAATTCATGACATCAGTAGCCTTGACGGACCAAACAGCCCTTCATTTGTGAAGAGCTTGGGTGACGAACATGATAAAGTCAGCATCCAGCACCCAAGCATGGATTCCCCGTCCAGGGAACTTTAGGGGGAAGAATGATCAGATGCCACTCACACAAAACAAAAGCAGGACAATTCCATGAGGGTGACAGAACTAGCCAACACTCCACAGGCTTTTTAATAACTACAATTTAAAAACCATCTCTCTACATAGCTTCCAGCAAAGCTCAGAAGTCAGGGAGACAACAGAAGGATGGTTAAAAGGGGAGTCTTAAGAATAGCAGTGCTATAGATTTTCAGAAGCCCAGACCTTCCCTCTTCGCCACTGAGATGCCCTGTCTTGGCACTGCCTAGCAGTACCACGTTTCCCCAGAAATCTAAGCAGTGCTATTCTTTTACTGAAAATAATAAACCAAGTATGAAAAGCAAAGTAATACCTTACCTTCGCTATTGACAGAGACCTGTGAAGAGAAATAATAGTGAACAAAAGCCCCCACATCATTAATATTTCCTATTACTACGCCCCATATGTTCCAACTACATTTGAAAATTTATTCAAATAAAATTATTTCTTATTCTGAATTTCAGAAACTGTCTTACTTCTGTTACCTCATCCTCATCTCCACCCAGGTGTTATTTCATCCTGCTGCATCTTGTTATTAACCTAGATTGTATGGTCTTTTTACTAGATATGTATACCAATCCCCAACTGAGGCCTCGAGACACAACCCTGTCTACTAGAAGCAAGTTGGAGAAGATTCCATCCGTGTCTTTGGGCCATTGACAGAAACAATCACACGAGCAGGGTCTGACCTATTACCTTTCAAGGTGTAATGCTCAACTGAATTAGACACAAGCCAGCCCCATCTCCTACAGTTTGCCTGATTAGTAAGTGTGCACAGAAAAGTTACTAATCTGTCGCATAAGAGAGATCCTATTTCATCACTACAGACTGTTGATTCTGAAGATCCTGGGCAATGAGTCATCAGTTAGCATTTCTGAATGAAGTTTAACAAAGAGAGTAGCTAGTCTTCATAGGTGTGCCTTAAAACATAAAGGGAGACTCCATTCCTGTAATCTTTTTCTCCAGACAACACAATACTGATCTGTTTGCTAAAGTAAGGTACCAGAAAGGGCTCTCCTCAAAGCTTCCAGAAGTGTTGGCTTTTCTCCCAGCATACAAGAAGAGCTGTGAGTTATCCAACAGGGGCAGTGTTCAGGAGCTATCTAAGAGTTTTATTGTGATCTAAACCTCTAACTATATATTGAGAGGCAGGTGAGTGAGTCAGGTTATGCCATGCAGGAAGTTACCCAAAAAGAACAATTACAAGTAGGCAATTTACTCACTCAGGATGGAAGCATCACTTCATAGAGACCATGGAGTTTGAATAAGACATGCAAAGAATTTGAATGCTTCACGTCATAGTAATAAACCTAAATTTTCCATGAGAAATGGCATGGACTAAGTAGCTAGGGCTTTGCAGTGGCTGACAACACAAGTAGCTACAACCCTGTGAGTCTTCAGGAACAGGAACATCCCTCCCACATAACAGCATGGAACGACTACAGGTTTTCAGTAGGCCATGGGAGATGGCAACAGGACAGCAGTTTTCCATCTTTTTTAAAAAGGAACATCTCATTTTACAAGAGGGGAAACCAGCAAAGTGAATCCTGCATGTGGAGCTGCAGCGTTCCAAAAGGAGTTAACTCTAACCTGTCCAACACAACACACACCATTTGCCTGAACAACCAGCTAGAAACCGTCAACTGGTTACTGGCCTCACAGTAATGTGGGGGGGGGGGGGAGAGGGGAGACACACACACACAACAGGAATCACTAACATAAGTACCTCATCATTATCCTCATCCATGTATTTGATCTGTATGTTGTTTAGATCAAATGAAACTTTCACCTGCAAGTAAAAATAAAGAGAGTGAGACAGAAACATGGTAGTTCTCAGCTAGTCAGTTATTAATAGGGGAGATGGTTAAACTCTCTCCCCTCCCATTGTCTCTCATTTGAGATCAATTAAGTGTTATTAAATCCATTTTTCTGCAGTCACATTACATCCCTCTCTCTGCCTTTCCTTTAGGCCTTACACAATTTAAATACCTATCATGACCAAGGGCAATACTCCCCTTTGATCCCTTCTTCCTTAGTTAATATGCACCTAAACCCAAGCTTCATTTAGCAACCTTTCCACTGAAATGGGATTTACACAAGGTTAATGGTCCTATTCTGTGTAAACACCCTGCAATAAAGAAAGGCTGAGGCAAACTATTCTTAAGCACCTGCACTTTTACACAAACAAGCAATCAGGAGACAGTTTACTCATGTGAAGAGCCTTTTTTTCCACATACCTGCTTCACTTGTCCCCTTGGGTTTTCAGATACTAAAGCTACACAAGCACTCAGAGTGAAGTACCTTACTCCTGCATTACCCACTGCCTGATACTCTGCTCCGTGGGACCGCACAGAATCTCTAACTTCATGTGTTTCAGATTCAGGAAAATGGTTCGATGCAGCCATTCTGTATTTTGCATTCGCCCTGAATGGCTCCAAATGAGCCATAAACACTGGCAGATGTTTCCTACTGTGATAAGTCTTTGAGGGCCATGTATGTTTTCGCAATTATGAAATTTACATAAGCAAACAATCCTTTACTTTCCCCAAGCAGATTCAAATCTCTCTACTTGACACAAGGAAGAATTACATATGGGCCAGGTTTCTGCAATTCTGAACCTAGTAGAGACAACCCGTGGGGATGGAAGACAAGTGAAAGCTGAGTTTCTTATACAGTAGTTTCCTGAGAAATTGAGCAACTCCCCAGTGTAATAACTACAATCAGTGTAGCGTATCAGGACAATAAATGCAGTTGTCCCCAGTAATATACTCCAGAATCAGCACCTTTGAAAAGTGGTCTCAGCACTCCTAATAGAATCCTTCTCTGCAGGTTTATCATTGCAGATAATTTATAGATAAAATGGCAAAGCTCCCAGTTGAGAAACTGCAACACAATGTTTTGGAGCATCTGCCCCAGCACTCAAGTATCTCATTGGAGCTATAGGAAGCACTGCAATTGACTTATGTCCCTCACCCCCAGTGTGAGTAGGAAATGGGAGTACAGACCAGATGGTCCTGTCCTTTTCTGCCCTTTAGAAACATCTGAATAGCTTGTCATGCCAATACAGTATTTTAAATCTGAACTACAACTCCTCCCAGAACATTAAAGTGCAGCTCTCAAGGGAGTGAGTGCTGTTCAGTTCCTGAATACAAGGATGAGAGCTGTGAAGCAGGGCCCTCTCCCAAGATGTATCATTCAAAGATAATAGCCAAGTCTTAGATAGTGATGGAAAGTAGAGATATAAGTAGAGATAACTGCCCATTATGTCAAGATGCATCTTTGTGAGGGTATGAACAGAAGAATAAACAAACAAAAACAGGAAAAAGATGGGGAGTTACTGCAGGTGGAAACGAATTTGGTGCATTATTTCTGCTATGGCTAATGGAATTGTGAACTCTCCCAGACAGCTATCCCAGTGAAAGAGTGTAACTAGAAAATGTTGGAAATGCAAATCCAAGCTAATACTTTTCAGCGACCAGTCACCTACCATATGATATACAGACTGGTACAAGCGACTGTATGAGTCTACACACACAGCTTATATGCAAGATAAACACTTGCATCCAAAAGGCAAACCAGTCCATAAAAAAACACTAACATAACAAGAAGCTGATAACTTATGTCAGCAATTCCACTGCACCTCAGAACAAAGATCAAGTTTCAGGAGAACCAGTCATAGCCAAGGCGGAGAACCATTAAGGTACGTCATTTCCCTATATCTATTTTGGTAGGGAAGGGAATTAAGAGGTTGAGGACTAGTCAGTGCATTTGATGGTGGAAAAAGCCTAAATTTGAATCCTTAGTAATTGTTAGTGCTGTGGAAAAGAACAGGATATGGAGACATTACCTCTTACTTTCAGATAAGCCAAATGAAAGATTCAAACTTTCACAATAAAATATAATTTCACCCAAAAACTAGCTTGCTGCAACCAATTTTAGAAAACACAATCAACGGTAAAAGGCAGCAAGATTGGTGGGGTTTAGAGAGACGAAGAGAAAAAAAACCAGATGATAGCATGATTATGACCCCCAAGGCTGAAAAGGAAAGGGAGAGAAGCTTCATTTTTAAAGTTTTCACAGATTAATCAAACATAAGAACTTCACTATGATTTTGAAATAACATAACCAAATTGGATTAGTATTCAAGGCAACTTGAGCTTTAGGTTAAGTTTACTAAGGCCATGTCTACACTGTATCAGCCATGTGCTCCTAGTGTGGACGCAGTTTATAGCAGCAAAGCTACACTTTTACCATACTGCCACCACTAAAGAAAACAAGATATACCAGTAAAAGTGCAGTTTTGCCAATATAACTGCATCTACGCTAGGGGCTTCTATGGGCACAGCTACATTAGCCAGAGATACTTCTCTTCACATCCCTGACCAACACAGCTATGCCAGCAGAAATATGTAGCATAGACGTAGCTAATAGCTTAATGAAGTCTAGAGGATCTTGTGTTTAACTGCATCAATAAAAGGAACTTTAAGAACTTCTTCACAGTGGCAATTATCTATTTTAACATTCCCTTTAATTTGCTTTTCTCAAAAGAAATACAATTGCCTATATTAAAAATAAATGTTCTTTAATTCCTAAATTTCTATGAAAGTTGGAAAGAGACAGGATAGTATACAGGATCCATGAACACAATTACAAAACTCACCATGGCTTCCACATCAGCCCAGGTAGTGTTTGATGAATCTGAAACCAGGAAACTCTGAGTCTCACCTCTAAAAGTCACACTGAGGTTTACCTGGGGCTCCATGCTGTGGGGCTATGGAAAAAGAAAGATTGTTACCCTAAAATATGTTAAGACATTTCAGGCCAAAGTCTCTTCTGTGGAAACGGAATGCAACTCCACTGACTTCACTGGAATTGAGAATTTAGTCCTTAATATTTAAGATTTGAACAGAGGTTAAAACAACAAAGGTGATCTTAACTGAAATGCCTGTACTTTTGTTTGTCCAGGAATTAACAATACTTTGCCTGTAGAAATGACACCTTTGCTCACACAAAGGACAGAGTTTTCAGCTACACCTCTACCCCGATATAACGCTGTCCCTGGGAGCCAAAAAAATCTTACCGTGTTATAGGTGAAACCGCGTTATATTGAACCTGCTTTGATCAGCCAGAGCGTGCAGCCCTGCCCCCTTGGAGCGCTGCTTTACCGCGTTATAGCCAAATTCGTGTTATATTGGGTCGCGTTATATCGGGGTAGAGGTGTATTTCTCTTCACAAATTAGCCATCCAACAGAGACTTCAACTGGAGTCTTGGCTCCATGTCAATACTGGAAATTTGCTACACCTCTTCCAACAACTGTTTACATTGCAACTTAGAGTCAGGTGACTAGCAGCAATTCCTTCCCTCAGTCCTGAAGGGGCTAGAATGTATTCATGATTGATCACACAGCTGAGTGAGGGCATCACTGCCATTTCAGGCAATCTCCACACAGCTTTTCTCTGTGCTTTAGGTAACCAAGCTTTTCTGGCACTCTGTTTTTTAGTCAATACATTTGTGAGAAGCAGGAAACAATAACTAGATTTTGCAGAACCTGCATTAACCCCATTGCTGCTAACCTTAGAGCATCAGGCAAGGCCGCTTGTGGTCCAGGGGTCCGCTCCCAGGCCATATCTCCAGAGGAAGCTGCCCTACAGCTGATGCCAGCTGTGAGAGGGCTGCCCAACTCCTCGATAGGATTTCAAGCCAAGGCCATTCCTTTCAAACTTGGATGCCCAGAACCCAGCTTTCAGGAGCTGAACGGTCTCTGGGATAACAGCTACCAGAGCTCAGCACCCATGCAAGGCAGAGTGGGTGCCTGACTCCAGGGGTGGGATTTGCTGCCTGTGGCCATAACGCAGGCCCGCAGGGTGGCCAGACCGAGAGTGCAGTGCCTTGTCCGTGCCTGGGGGCTGAAAGCGGCAACGGGCCATGTCATAACTATAAAGGGAAGGGTAACAGCTCTCCTGTGTACAGTACTATAAAATCCCTCCTGGCCAGAGACTCCAAAATCCTTTTATCTGTAAAGGGTTAAGAAGCTCAGGTAACCTGGCTGACACCTGACCCAAAGGACCAATAAGGGGACAAAATACGTTCAAATCTTGGGGGGGAGGCTTTTGTTTGTGCTCTTTGTTTTGGAGGTTGTTCGCTCTTGGGACTGAGAGGGACCAGACATCAATCCAGGTTCTCCAAATCTTTCTGAACAAGTCTCTCATATTTCAAACTTGTAAGTAAACAGCCAGGCAAGGCGTGTTAGTTTTACTTTGTTTTCTCAACTTGTAAATGTACCTTTTACTAGAGTGTTTATCTCTGTTTGCTGTAACTTTGAACCTAAGGCTAGAGGGGGGTCCTCTGAGCTCTTTAAGTTTGATTACCCTGTAAAGTTATTTTCCATCCTGATTTTACAGAGATGATTTTTACCTTTTTATTTAATTAAAAGTCTTCTTTTTAAGAACCTGATTGATTTTTCCTTGTTTTGAGATCCAAGGGGGTTGGATCTTGATCAACCAAGAGTTGGTGGGAGAAAGGAGGGGGATGGTTAATTTCCCCTTGTTTTAAGATCCAAGGGGTTTGGATCTTGATCTACCAGGAGTTGGTGGGAGAAAGGAGGGGGATGGTTAATTTCTCCTTGTTTTAAGATCCAAGGGGTTTGGATCTGTATTCACCAGGAAATTGGTGAAGGTCTCTCAAGGCTACCCAGGGAAGGGAATTAGCTTTGGGAATGGTGGCAGCGGACCAGATCTAAGCTGGTAGTTAAGCTTAGAAGTTTTCATGCAGGCCCCCACATTTGTACCCTAAAGTTCAAAGTGGGGAAGCAGCCTTGACAGGCCAGGTAGAGCGTACAGAGTCAGCTAGGGGGCAGAGGATCAGGCCAGGCAGAGGGCACGGGGCAGAGCTGGCCAGGCCCAGAGTGCGCGCCCAGCGGGGGAGCGGGGGGCGGTGACCGGGCCGGGCCCCGGGGCCGGTGGGGGATCGGGGGGCTGGGACCGGGGCGGACTGTGACGCTGCCACTCGAGATGCACACACAGCCCGGGAGCCTGCCCCGAGGGAGGCTTGTGACCTGCCCCCGAGCCCGGCGGGCGGATCGCGGAGCGGGCTCGGAGTTCATGGGTCTGCCCCGGGGTCGGGCAGGGGGCCCCGGGGGAAGTCACACCACCGCTGGGGGTCCTTACCCGCCTGAGGCCGGTCCCGGCAGGGAAGGGGGGCGGTTCAGCGGTACCCTGGGCAGGGGGCGGCTCCAGGCGCCGCTCGCTCCTCACTGTTGTGATAGAGGATCCTAACATGGCGGATTCACCTCATCTGGCCCGCACCATTTACCGCCACCCGATTGGTCTGCGCGCCTGCCACTCACAGCCTCCCTGCTTTGGATTGGTGGAGTGGGTGGAGCCACGTTTCTGGGGACCACAACAATAAACAAGAGGGGAGAGGGAGGCTGGATCCGGGGCAGAGCGGTTCCCAACACCCTCCACTTCCGGGGTGAACTACCGCCGCCGGCATGCAGCCCCCTTAGGACGGCAATTCCCGGCATGCACAGCGTCGTCGCCGTAAGTTTCAGCGCCCGACGTTCCCCGCCTCACCCGGAACCACAACTCCCAGCATGCCTCACTCTGGCTACTACAGTTCCCAGCATACACCGCTCCCCAGAGGGCCCGGCGTGTGCAGTGCACGCTGGGAGTCGTAGTCCCTGTCGGGGCGGCGTGTACCTCCTACGCTGGGCCTGGCTCCAAACATTGCCCCGCTCGGTGAGGGGATCCAGGCCTCGCCGCTCGCTTTCCGCCCGTGACGGAATAAACAAGCCCAAAGGTCACATGGGGCAGCACAGCCAATCAGGTGTTCTCCTACCCTAAGTGCCCCTCACGTCCGGGTGCGCGAACAGTCAGGTGGCTGTAGTGGAGCCAATACGGAGAAACTCTTCTCCCCATGTGACCCGAACTCGGCTGTGTGATTGGCTCCGTGGGTGCGGTGGTTTCCTAGGTGATGGAAAGGGCGCGAAATACCTTCAGATCGAGTGAGGCGCTTGGCGAGTGAGGGCGCGAGAGGGATGGGGGCGGGTGTCAGGGCCGGCGGGGAAAGGAGGGGATGGGGGAGGGGGGGAGAGGAAATGTATGGGGCCGGGCCTGGGGGGCGGGCCCTAAGCTGGCAGGGCTCGCCGATGGGGCAGGACGGGGGAAGGGGTTAGGCCTTAAACTGGCATAGCTCGGGGGTGGGGTAGGGCCCCAAGCTGGCATAGCTCGGGGGTGGGAGTGCATGTGTGGGGTAGGCCTTAAGCTAGTAGAGGTGGGGCAGGGCAGGGCCTGGGCGGGTTAGGCCCTAAATTGGCAGGGTTCAGGTGTGGGATAGGTTCCTAAGCTGGTAAGGCTTGGGGGTGGGGGTGCATGTGTGGGGCAGGATGAGGGGGTAGGCCCTAAACTGCCAGGGCTTGTGGGTGGGACAGGCCTTGGGGTGCAGGCCCTAAACTGTCAGGGTTTGGGGATGGGGGTGCATGTGTGGGGCAGGGCCCTGGTGTGTGTGGGGGGGGTAGAGCCCTAAACGGACAAGGTTTAGGGGTGGGTGGGGGTTCAAGGCAGGACCTCTGGGGATTAGGGGCCAAGCTGATGTAAAGGGTAGGCTTGATTCTGGCAAGGTTTAGGGTGGGGGACATGTGTGGTGCAGGATCTGTAGGGATAAGCCCTAAGCTGACAAGGTTTGGGGGTAAGGGGCATGGTGTGACAGGGCCCGGGGCGTGGGGTGCAGTGAGTAGGAGCAGGAGAGAGCTCTGGCTGGGGGAACCATTACACTCTCTTGGTTTGGCTGCCTGGGCCTATTGTTTGTCTGAGGAGGACCCCCACTGTTGTGGTTCTGGGGTGTCAACACTCTCATTCTCTTTAAATGAGGGGCTGCTGTGATTGCCCTTGGGCTCTGCAGTTTGCTTGCCTGTCTATTCCTCCTTTCACCTGTTCTGTTTGTGAGGACAGTGCTAGGCTGTCTGCCTCTTGCTCTCTCGGTTTCAGTGTGGTTGATTCTCCCTCGGTTTTTTCTGTGTTTACTTTTGTCTTTGCTTCAGTGTAAATTTAAGACATTGCTGCCCCCACCTGTCTGAGCTTCAGAACTGAGTCTATGCAATAATCCCTTTCAAGTGAAAAATCTCATACCTGGAAACTGCCATCCTTGAATAAGGTGGCACAGAGCGTCCTTTTGGTTCAAAATCTAGATCTGATCGTTCAGGCTAACACTAATCCGAGCTTCTGCAAGTGCCACCTGCTTTTGCTGCTGAGTGCTCACTGTGACTATATCATGTTTTGTTTCTGGTCTCCAACTGCACATCTTTTGAATAGCCCATACTTGTAAGATTTAAACTGAGTTCAATCAATTTTGATTTGTGTACTCTTGCCCTGATACCCACAACTCCAAAAGCTGATTTTATTCCTTGTGTGATCTAATAGGTTTTCCAGATTCCGAGTCTACTATGTCAGCCAAGAGGGTATAAGATTTCTCATTCTGCAGACGTATGATGTGCATTGCCACTTGCTCAGCTACAGACGACCTATACTGGAATCATCAGCAAACTGCAATAAAGGTAGCATTAATTATGTTTTTCTCCCATTAGAATCTTTGCAGTGGCCTCTCTAAAGTATTTCACTATGTAGGTATTTAATTTAAAAAAAAAACTTTGTAGAAGGGTGGTGCCCAGAAGCCACACCTGAGACGAGGACCCTATTATGCTAGGCACAGTGTTTACACATTGTAAGAGACAGTACCTACTCTGAAGAGCTTATGGTCCAGATGCTCAAATAATGGGGAGGGGTAACAGGCACACAGAGGTGAAGATCCATTTTGTACTTCCTTGCATTTCATGTGAGCAGCAGAGCAGTTATGTACACATAGGGAATCATTTCTAAAGATTTTATGCCAGTGGCTAAAGGGACTACCATTCAGACAAGTTCTCATGTTTTCTGCAAGTTAATGTAAGAAATATTAAATGTTTTATGTAAATCTATTTAGCTTTTCATTAGTTCTGGAAACTGTTCATGTGCAAGGCCCCGATCCTGGAAGCATGAGTCAGTGGAGCTCAGGATTGGCCCTCCTCACAACTAAGGGTATGTCTACACTGCACTTTCCTCGGTAAAACTTTTGTCAGTCAAGGGTGTGAAAAAAACACACACCCCTGACCGACAAAATGTTTACTGATGAAAAGCGCTTGTGTGGACAGCGCTTTGTCAGTGGGAGACGCTCTCCCGCCCACAAAGCTACCGCCCTTTGTTGGGGGTGGTTTTATTTTGTCGGCAGGAGAGCTCTCTCCTGCCGACAAAGAGCAGCTACACTGCGTACCTTACAGCAGTATGGCTGTAGTGGCACAGTTGTGCCGCTGTAATGTGCACAGTGTAGGCATAGCCTAAGATACTTGTGTCTGCCCTATCCATTTCCTGCTTTGAATATTACAACCTCCTCTTCTTGGCGTGCACCTCACCCATTTCTCTTCTGTCCAAAATTCAGTTGACAAAATAATTTCCTTGTTAGCTGCTATAACAGCATTTTCCCCACAACCCTGAAAGCCCTGCACTTGTTCACCAACCCTCTGCATATTAAGGTCAAATTCTGGCCTTCAAGACTATGAGATTCAGTTCCTCCCTATATCTTTAATATAGTCTACTTTCATGTCCTCATCTGTTCTGTCCACCAGTGATGCCAGCTTTTGACTTCTCACATAAATCTCTGCTGTTTTCTATGCTGCCTTCTGTATCTAGAAAACTCTGCTGAAGCCTATTCGCTAAGGCATCACCCTCACTGCATTCAGGTCCCTCCTAAAGACTCACATCTGCCTCAAAGAAGTAAACTAATTCATATTTTAAATGAAAGCTTGAAAAAAAATTTGTTCATCAAGAAGTGTACATGAGTTTGCTGAGTCGCCATATGATCTTATTTCTGTTACTTTCCCCACGCTACTCTATTCCTCTAGTTTGTGGTCACCTTGTAATGTTAAGTCTATATTCTCGATTGTAAACTCTTTAGAGCAAGGATCCATCAAATTCTCTGAGGAGCCTAATACATGCTACATAGTACATGTGAATGTAGTAATGTTCACATTGCAGGCAAATGTGAATGAGATACTGTGTACCAGAATACATTTCTTTTTTGTAGATTGTGTTTGGAATTGAGGAATGGACTCGTCTGTGGCTGCCATTGGAGATGTGCAAAATGTGCTTTTGGCTATGCAGAAGAACTTGGAGTGCCCAATATGGTATGTCAGGGGAATAATCTGGACTTCATACTGCACCGGGGTGGGCAAACTTTTTGGCTTGAGGGCCACAGCGGGGTTCCGAAACTGTATGGAGGGCTGGGTAGGGAAGGCTGTGCTTCCCCAAACAGCCTGGTCCCCGCCCCCTATCTGCCCCTCCCACTTCCGGCCCCTCAGACTGCCCTCCTCAGAACCCCGGACCCATCCAGCCCCCCCTGCTCCTTGTCTCCTGACCGTCCCCTCCCAGGACCCCCCCCAACCGCCATGCCCCCGGGACCCCCCATCCAAACCCCCCGTCCCCTGACTGCCCTTACCCACACCCCTGACAGGCTCCCCGGGACTCCCACGCCTATCCAACCGCTCCCTGTCCCCTGACTGCCACCGGGGATCCTCTGCCCCTTATCTAACCCCCCTACTCCCCACCCCCTTACCATGCCTCTCAGAACACCAGGACTGGCTGCTGTGCCGCCCGGCCGGAACCAGCCACGCTGCCGCGCAGTCTAGAGCAGCGGGGCAGGCCAACAGCTCTCGCAGTCATGCTGCCCGGCAGGAGCTTGCAGCAGAGCACTGGCAGCACGGCAAGCTGAGGCTGCGGGTGGGGGGAGACAGCAGAGGAGGGGCCGGGGGCTAGCCTCCCTGGCTGGAGCTCAAGGGCCAGGCAGGACGGTCCCGCGGGCCACAGTTTGCTCATCGCAGTGAATTATGACAAATTGTTTACTCTTTTTTTTTCTTGTATTCAAACACTACTTACTGTATGCACAGCCACAGCTGGGGCCATTTGGAAAATGAATATTTGGGTTTTGTGAGGTCCACGCTTTCTGTAGCTCAGAGAGCTTATTGAGAAAATACTTGCATCTGCTCAGATCTAAGCATGAAGAGTTAAAAACAGCACCTGGATACATAAATTCAGAAATTCTTGATGAATTTAGGACAGACTCTTAATTTCTAAGAACCACATATGTGGTAGATTTTTGCATTTAATAGCAAATAATTCAGGGATGAAAGGTCTGAGTTGAGTTTTAAACAAGCTTAACATCCAGCTTTTGCCCCAGTGACTAGAAAATGACTTGGCCTAACTGCAGTGGACATGTTCTAGTGTGATCTCTTTCATTGTAAAGCCACAGTGTAGAAGACTCTCTATTCTTTATGACTAGTCAAATGTCATTGTACTACCTCTTCTGGAGCATTTAGGGTGTAATAATGCTGGTGCTTCTTTGGTAAATCTCTGAATCACTGCATGATTTGTTACAATGACAATAAATAGTGAACCATTTGAGAGCGGCAAAAATTAAAAGGTCATAATT